CAGGTACTTAAAGAAAATTAAAATGTATTGTTTAAAGTTTATTTGTCAAGGTAGGAGTTTATATTGTTTTACATGTTGATGCTGATTGGGCGACTGACAGATTAGATAGAAAGTCCTACAGTGGATTTTGTTTTGTAATGTCAGGAACAGCTGCTTAGTGGCAGAGTAGGAAGCAGAAAGTTGCAGCATTATCCAGTACAAAGGCTTAATATATTGCGATCTCTGAAGCTTGTAGGGACACAATATATCTAAGAGAACTATTGCTTGAATTAACTGGGTCTTTGTTAACTATTAAGCTAAATTGTGATAACCAAAGGGCATTAAAGATGGCTACAAATCATCAATGTCATAATACATAGATCGAAACATTTAGATGTTAAACATCATTTTGTTAGGGAGACTATCAAGAGTGGAAAAGTAGAGATTAATTATTAATTATCCACAAATGAAGTGCCAGCAGATTTGTTTACTAAAGGGTTGTTAACTAAAATTAAACATCAGAAGTTTATGAAAAAATTTAGTTTATTATGTAAGTGGGGGTGTTGCGGTCAATTTTATCAAAATAGATAAAAATGTTACTAGCGACATCTATTGTGAAATGTACTAAACCTTAATATAGTCAGTCTGTACTAAATAACGAGACGTGTTTTCATTACTGTTTTTGCGTTTTTAAACGTTGTTGGCAATTTTAACAATTTCTTCTTCCTTACCCCCAATTATTACTTCAGTTAAAAGTGCTCACATATAAAATTCATACAGATTTTTGTTGTATGCGTAGTAATGCACTATTTCGGACCAAACGCCATAAGCAGTTGGTTTCGCATCAGGGCTTAATTCCACATTCATTGCATAAGCAATTCCATTAGCAATGATTGCGTAAAAAACGTTGTCTGTCATCAAAATAACATATGGCTCTTTAAGGAAATCTTGGCCCAAAAACCTAAGGGATTTCCTGCCTTCCGGTAGACCCTGAACTTTGATAATCCCATCAGCATTTTTAATGAATACATCCTTGTTGGAGTCGTAGAAGTAAATATTTTCAAAATAATCCAAAACAATTTCCTGGGCATCTTCTACATCTTGGAGCAACTCTTTGTCTGCGCCTTCATTTGTCACATTATATAATTTGTGATCTTCACTCAGAATGTAAATGTGTTTTCCATCTACGTTTGTAGCGATATCGATAATGCTATCGGAAAAATTTCCATATTTATCAGCGGACTTGGAGTCCACATTATAAACATATAAACCATCGCTGGCTCCGAAATAGACTATTTCTTCATCATCAAATGAAGCCGCCGCTGCTCTTCCATTAGGCAGAACCATTTTCTCCTCACCATTCTTATATAAGTACAGTCCTTTGTTAACACGTTTGCCATCCTTAAGATCAGCTTCTACTAAGAAAACCGTCATATCCGGCTTGCTATCAGAATCAATATCTTTCATAGACTCCAAGGTAAGAGCATTCAACGGTACCATAATATCAACGATATCATGTTTCGCTTTATATTTAAGGTAATTTTTATTGAATAATATGTGTCTTGGTATCACAATTTTGTCATCCTTTTCTTCTGAGAGAGGTGCAGCTATATACTCTCCTATAAAGAGGACTACACATAAAAACGCTTGTGTTCTCATTTTTCCAGTCTGAAAATAATTATTACAATACATTAATAAGGATAATATAGACACAATAATGTTTAAAGGATTATGTTTTACTTGTAAAATTTTAGAGATTAATTTTAACACTGTTTGCAATGATTTTAACGACTTAACAAAAAATGTATTGATATATAGTATATAGGTATTGTAACTAAAACGAAACACAATATCTGTTTTTTTATTTAAGTCATGTCAAAATTCATCGATAAAATAAACCATACGTAGAGGTATTAAATAAGTTGTTTCCATGTGGAAATTGACATTAATTTACTTATTTTTTTATGAAAAAAATTGAAAAAATATTTTTTTTTTTCTCAGTATCAATCGAGTCACTATAAGTCTACAGTGTCTAAAATGCTTGACCGTCAATCATTATTAAAAATAGTAATATATAGCTTATTTATGAGTTACAAAATTGAATAAATAAAATTTTAAGCTTAAATATTTTCTACATTAACGACTTTTAGGCCTCGGCCTCGAATCTCGCGGGTAGCGGGGCGGCAGCGGCGGCGGCACGAAAACGCATACATTTCTCCGTGCCCGTTGCCCGCTAGTTTGGAGAATAGTATGCGTTTCCGTGCCGCCGCCGCTGCCGCCCCGCTACCCGCGAGATTCGAGGCCGAGGCCTTAGGGTAAATTTTTTACAATGATTAATTATTAAGTGTTTAATATATCACCTAACTAACTACACTAGATAAGATAATATGAGTTAATAAACAATTTAAAATAAGTGCTAAACTATCACTTATATATTGTATTAATAGTAAGTATGACAGAACACACATGGCTTTCTTCGAATCGTTTCTTTCAATCGTCTTAGTTATAATTATTAAATTAATTAAATAATACAGAACCATCGTAATATTCACAAGAAAAACCACGAATCTGGCATTCAAAACAAAACTTATTAGCCTATATAAATGAATATAATTTTGAATAAACTATTAAAATAAAATAAAAAATGAAATAAAAACATCACATCTCACAATATTGATTAACATAAATAAGTCGTATACTCTTATAAGTTTAAGTTGAAAAATCACACTGTTATGCAATTATATAAAATTGACCATTATACAGGGTGACTGGTGAATTACTATCAATATTTAAGGAGAATACTCGGTACATGATTCTCATTTGAATTATGTAAAAAAAATAGGCACTTAATTTTTGACAAAATTAATTACATAACTTTTGGTTAACTTTTCTTAAAAGTTTATTAATATTTATGTTATATTAATTTTTATTTTGTCATATATGACCGTCAAATATCACGTCCTCAAGTATCGATAGTAATTCACCAGTCACCCTGTATATAAACTAGAAGACCAGGCGAACTTCGTATCGCCCTATAATCAAGAAATATCTGTTACGTTTTTTATACATATTTTTGGAGTTTATCTATTAAAGCCATAAATCTCCGTCTTTTGAAGTGCGACAGAATGATTGACATATTAGTTAGGTGTCAAATCTAACGTCAAAAAAAAACCGTTTATATCAACAACTGCTAATAAATTAATAAAAAAAACATTGTCCAGCGGACAAAATTGTGAATCTTAACCATTCCCAGATCCCCTTGAACAAACACAAAAAATTTCATCAAAATCGGTCCAGTCGTTTGAGAGAAGTTCAGTTACATACACACTCACAGAAAAATTATATATATAAAGATATTCCAACGATACGATAGTAAAAACAAAGTTTCCTTTATATTAATAATAAAATGAATAATACGCAAGATGTTTTTAACTTAAATAAATGAAGCGAAGTCACGGATAAGCTACTATATATCAATTGTTACACTTACCAACTACGAGTATAAAGTAGATATGCGCTCTTCTATGTGCAACTTACAATTTTATACTTGTTATCATTATTGTTTTTTGTCAAATAATAATTACAAGATATAAAGGACCCATTCGCGTGTATCTCTATGTTTATATTTAACATTGATAACAAAAGTTTATTATGAGTCACGGGATAAACCAGTGAATTTTTAGTAAAAAACAAAATTATTGTTCTTAATTACATTAATTTGTTTTCCAAAATAATGTCTGATCAAGTTGAATTTTGTGAATTTTTAATTTAATAATACGAAAATTATTTCAACCTGGTTTTACGAATCAAATGACACAAGAGAAATCGATGGCATAATTTATTAAGCTTGTTATTACTATTTTCAATATTGACTATCGATAAAACTTTTAGTTAAATGTAATACACCAGACGAAATATTAATAACTAGTTTTTGCCCGCGACTTCGTCCGCGTTAATTTCGTCATTAGTAATATAGGTATAGCTGACAGGGCAAACTCTATTCCGTCTTCAATAACCCGGTATTGGTATTTATTAAATTTCTACTGTTTCAATCGAACAGAATGATTGACATATAAGTTAGTTGTCAAGTCTAATGTCAAAAAATCATTTGTATGGGAAATAGAAAAGGGCTGTTTTTAGGATTTTCTCGGCAATAATTCCAATTTTTCTCACCTTTTAAACCTTCCCTGGACTTACAGGAGTATTTCAAGACTAAAATTAGCAAAATCGGTTCAGCCGTTCTCGAGTTTTAGCGAGACTAAGGAACAGCAATCCATTTTTATATATGTAGAAGAGAAGATTAGTAGCATCAAAACTCTTAGTATTTATTTATATTTTATAGGAACAACGTTCACTGCAAATCATATCACAAGAGAATAAATGGTACGGTAACGTAAAGACTGTCTGTATCTAGTTTCATAACAACTTGGACTAAAGGCACCAAGGTGATTATGACTCCAGTCCTAATTTAAAATGACAGTAAAAAAACTTTTTTTATTAAATCATTCCCGTTTTAATGTTCCAGTTGTGTAATTAAAGTATTCTCGATATAAAAGTGCCACCCATGTTCTTTTCTCTTAAGATTATTATCATAATTGATCAAGATGTAACAAATAAGATAGGTATTTAAACTTAAAGAAGAATATATTAGCTACGAAAACTCTAAGATGACTAGGATTTGATACCAATATAAGACTTTTCGTTTAAGAAGTAGCCCCTGGTTTTCTTTATGAAATTTGTGTGTTTTTTTTTATTTTGTGGTGATCTAGGGTTGATAGAGAAATATCTGCAATTGAACATTTCTACTTTTTCCATTACACAAAGCACATAAATTATGACACGACTGTCAGTAAATAGTTATTCAATTATAAAATATATTTGTTGTACAAACAAAAGAAACGATTTGTTGTTAGTAAAAATATTTATTATATAAATATTTCAATAGTTCTACATACATTAAGATCTCTACTAGTCTAAAGAGTTTTTACGATTTTCAGCGACGATGCTACTTCTCTCAATTTCTATTTAAACATTGGCCCAACAAAGAATTCATACAGATTTTTATTATATGCGTAGTACAGCACAAGAGTGGCATAAGCGCCATAAGCAGTTGGTTTCGCATTGGCACTGAACTCCACGCCAGTAGCTTCAGCTGTTCCATTAGCTTTGATATAGTATAGAGCGTTGTCTATAATCAAAGGAACCGCTTCCACCATCATTATCGTTGGGTTTACAAGCTTAAGGGATTTCCTGCCTTCCGGTAGACCCTGAACTTTGATAACCCCATCAGCATTTTTAATGAATACATCCTTATTCGAGTCATAGAAGTAAATATTTTCAGAATAACCCAAAACAATTTCCTGGGCATCTTCTACATCTTGGAGCAACTCTTTGTCTGCGCCTTCATTTGTCACATTATATAATTTGTGATCTTCACTCAGAATGTAAATGTGTTTTCCATCTATATTTGTACCGATATCAATAATGCTATCGGAAAAATTTCCATATTTAACAGCGGACTTGGACTCAACATTATAAACATATAAACCATCGCTGGCTCCGACATAGACTATTTTTTCATCGTTAAATGAAGCCGCCGCTGCTCTTCCATTAGGCAGAACCATTTTCACCTCACCATTCTTACATAAGTACAGTCCTTTGTCAACACGTTTGCCATTCTTAAGATCAGCTTCTACTAAGAAAACCGTCATATCGATGTTGCTATTAGAATCAAAACCTATATTAGTCTTCAAGGTAAAAGCATTCAACGGTACCATAATATCCACGATATCATGTTTTGCTTTACATTTAATGAAATTGTCATCGAATATTTCTCTTGATACTACAAATTTGTGACCTTTTTTTTCTGCGAGAGGTGCAGCTATATACTCTCCTATAAAGAGGACTACACATAAAAACGCTTGTGTTCTCATTTTTCCCGTCTGAAAATAATTATTACAATACATTAATAAGGATAATATAGACACAATAATGTTTAAGGGATTATGTTTTACTTGTAAAATTTTAGAGATTAATTAACTAATTTTTTTTTGTGAAAAAATTTTAAAATATATTCATGTTTTTTTTCCACTATCAATCGAGTCACTACAAGTCTTCCATATAAAATGTACTTCAAATATATGTATGTATACACTGTTAAAAATAATCGACCGTCAATCATTATTAAAAAAGGAATATATATGTATCTTATTTGTAATGAGTTACAAAATGGAATAAATATTAATGCGAACAGACAATATGACTTTCATAAGTAAATAGAAAATAAATGGTTTATATGTAATTGATATAAAGATTTCGATTCATTTCCTCGATCGTAACATTCCTATAGTTACTGAAGTAATAAATTTCATCGTTATAATGAAATACTTATTTAAAAAAGTTAATAAACAATTTGAAACAAGTGCAAAACTCTCACTTATATATTGTATTAATAGTAAGTATGACAGAACACACATGGCTTTCTTCGAATCGTTTCTTTCAATCGTCTTAGTTATAATTATTAAATTAATTAAATAATACAGAACCATCGTAATATTCACAAGAAAAAACACGAATCTAGCATTCAAAACAAAACTTATTAACCTTCTAAATCAATATAATTTTGAATAAACTATTGAAATAAAATAAAAAATGAAATAAAAACATCACATCTCACAATATTGATTCACATAAATTAGTCGTATACTCTTATAATTTTAAGTTGAAAAATCACACTGTTATGCAATTATATAAAATTGACCATTATACAGGGTGACTGGTGAATTACTATCAATATTTAAGGAGAATACTCGGTACATGATTCTCATTTGAATTATGTAAAAAAAAAAGGCACTTAATTTTTGACAAAATTTCCGTATAAATAAATAAAGTGTTGACACGTTCCAAGTGTTCCAAGTGTGGACGCGTGCTCCTGCGTGCTGATACAACACCACGCCGTCTCATGCATATGTGTGAGTGTGTGTGTATACCTAATCTGTAGGGTGTTCACACGATGCGTAATTAATTACATAACTTTTGGTTAACTTTTCTTAGAAGTTTATTAATATTTATGTTATATTAATTTTTATTTTGTCATATATGATCGTCAAATATCACGTCCTCAAGTATCGATAGTAATTCACCAGTCACCCTGTATATAAACTAGAAGACCAGGCGAACTTCGTATCGCCCTATAATCAAGAAATATCTGTTACGTTTTTTATACATATTTTTGGAGTTTATCTATTAAAGCCATAAATCTCCGTCTTTTGAAGTGCGACAGAATGATTGACATATTAGTTAGGTATCAAATCTAACGTCAAAAAAAAACCGTTTATATCAACAACTGCTAATAAATTAATAAAAAAAACATTGTCCAGCGGACAAAATTGTGAATCTTAACCATTCCCAGATCCCCTTGAACAAACACAAAAAATTTCATCAAAATCGGTCCAGTCGTTTGAGAGAAGTTCAGTTACATACACACTCACAGAAAAATTATATACATATATAAAGATATTCCAACGATACGATAGTAAAAACAAAGTTTCCTTTATATTAATAATAAAATGAATAATACGCAAGATGTTTTTAACTTAAATAAATGAAGCGAAGTCACGGATAAGCTACTATATATGAATTGTTACACTTACCAACTACGAGTATAAAGTAGATATGCGCTCTTCTATGTGCAACTTACAATTTTATACTTGTTATCATTATTGTTTTTTGTCAAATAATAATTACAAGATATAAAGGACCCATTCGCGTGTATCTCTATGTTTATATTTAACATTGATAACAAAAGTTTATTATGAGTCACGGGATAAACCAGTGAATTTTTAGTAAAAAACAAAAATAATAGTTATTAATTACATTATTTTTTTTTTAATATTGTGTTATTAAGTTGAATTTTGTGAATTTTAATTTTTGCTTTACACTTCAGTGAAAAATGGAATTAATTTTCCTACTACCTTTAAACATCTGCAAGAGATAACAATTTTCTGAAGTAATGGTGACAATTATGTTCACAGGGTGTTTATCAAATGAATGAATGAATGAATGAACCAGTGAATGTGAATGAATGAATAAATAAATATTTATTTATGTACCAAAAGAAGAATTATTATAGTATTTTAAAAGAAATCATAGGATAACTTGTCTCTTAGAAGACAACAGATCTCTACCCGAAATCCTTTTGATAGAGGAAATGAGAAAAGAAATATGGTGTATGGACAGTAAAGAAAGAAGTAAAAAAAGTTGAAGAAATAAGCATACAAACAAATTTATAATAATAGGAAATGTAGATAGTATGTATACATTCTTTATGATAAAGGGGACCACCGGGCAGACGGCCTTGCTGATGGTAGGTAGTAACATCGACCATAGACATAGGCAACATAAGAGATGTGTTGATATGTCGCCATCCTTGATTGGGGTAGAGGGGCAGGAAAAGGTGGGAAAGGAAGGAAAAGAGAGGGGTAGGAAAGGTTGGGAAAAGGGAAAGGGAACCGGCTCCCTCACTCAGCGGACGAAAGGCAGTCATTAAAGACTACTTGACGTCGACCTTCTGTGAGAGGGTGGTACTTCCCCGGTCAAGCCAGCACATTCGAGCGCTAGTAACTTGACCACAGCTGGGCTCTACCACCTGTAAATAAAAATACCAATAAAAAATAAGATATATCTAAATAAATAATAAACTTTTTTATCACATATATTATAAAGACCGGCTATATATATATTACATTTTCTGAGGAAATTCAATGAAAATTTTCTACTGGGCAACTGAGTATTATCTTATGTCAAAGCTCAATAAATAAGTATATCACTATCACAATTATATTATATGTTAAGAAAATATTGACTTACGTTATATATATGTACTAAATAATATCGGATACATCAAGAGAAAAACAAAAGTTTAGATGCAATCTTTATGCTCCCTCCATCCATTGGGCACCTAGAATGTTTTAAAGTATTATCAATGTGATCAAATGTTTTACCGATCAATTCTTAATATTAATATGGTTTGTCCGATTAATTCTTAATATTCTTAATATTAATTCTTAATATAAATATGTATTATTATATTTTAAGGTATTAAAAATATAGCCAAAAGTAAAAACAAAGTATGCATATTTTTTCTGTCATTTTTAAACCATCTTAATAACTATCCAACGATTGCTGCTGAATATGTTGGGTTACTTTTAAATTATCTAAAAGAAAGAGTGATTTTCAAGGAAAAATTATAAAATAAATTGCTTGCCGGCTTGCGTAAGTACGACCACAATTCTGAATTCCTCAGCAAATTAAAGTGGTTCCCTACTCGCTTTCGCCGGAATATGCATGTTTTAACGCTAATGTACAATATGTTCAAACATTCTTCTCCCCCGTACCTACTCGAGCGTTTTAAATTTTCCTCCCCTAGAATCCTTCCTAGCTCTTGTGTTACACAAAATCCTCTTGATATTCCCTCCTTTAATACAAAATTTTATCGTAAATCCTTCTCCGTCCAAGGCGCAAAACTATGAAACTCACTCTCTCCTTCTCTTTACAGAGAGAGTCCAAGTGCAGTTGCATTTAAACATCGACTTAAGAGACATCTTCTGTCACTTTTACCTTAATATAATATGTAACGTTTATCTATTTATTCTATTCGTAAAGATTTATGTATATATCTATGTTAGTATAATATCAGAATTTTATACTATTATAATTTGGTTTGTTTTCATATATATACCTCTTTTTTATTTTTACCTTTTCTCTTTTTTTATCTAGTCCACATTTCTCTTCCTATTTCCTCTTTCAAAAGGGTTTCTGGTAGTGATATCTCTTAACTGATAAGCTATCCTTTGTACATCACATTTCTTTTTTAATACTGTAATTGTAACAATTTTTTTGGTACATAAAAAAATAAATAAATAATTTCGTCAGCCATTCTTGTAGAGGAAATACTCACCAAAAATTTGCAAGCAGGATGCAAGATAGTGCAGTGAACAAAAAAGAATTTGGTCATTTTTATATAAAGTTTGTAAATTGTTTTAAATATGTCTGGTTTATCGAGAACAGCTCCAGTTATCCTTATCATATGATGGTTTATCATCCAATAAATTGTATAATGTCACAAAAACGAGGGAAATTAAATCAATGATATATGTATTATGTTAAAGTATCCCTCAAATATATTGAACTAACATAATTAATCTGCTAAAAATTTTCAATGTTCAAGGTATTTAAAATCAAACTATTTTAAACTTAAAACCATTGACCTTTATGAACGCTAATAATATTAAATCTAAAATTATTAGTGACTTTCTAAAATTGTTAGTCAGATTGGGTCTCAAAATAATTATAAACATTTGTTATAAACAATTTATTTACAAAAAATACAAAGGTTTTATTACATACATTATTATCGTTTTATTATGACTCAGATCAGCCTCTTAGTAAAATATATACAATTTGATTGTAATTTTCAAAAGAAATGATTGAAATCTTTATATATTTCGTCCTTCCCCGTCTCTATGATCGACATGATAAATTTCGTAAGATCTTTTGGCCATTCCGAAGTGAAACTGAACATTGATTTAACCATCGCTTCCATAATATTAAATTCATAAACCTTACCATCCAACGCTGCCACTAAATATAACAGCTGTGTACTACAAAAATCGATCTATAGCATCCGGTCTCAATGACAAAACTCCATATGAGGTGTGATATGAAAAGAAACCCATTGTATGAGATAAGTATAGAACGATAACAGTACACAGAAGAATTATGACAAACATTTAATATTACAGAGAGTAAATTGAACATAACAAAAGCAGAAAAATGTACAGAGCAAATTAGTTATCAAAAACTCTTGGGTTGTCTTATGTACTCGTATATGGCTGTCATGACAAGACGTGGTATTGCATACTCTGTTAGTTAT